GTCACTTTATCCAGTTAATCTGCCACATGGTCTTTGGCTATTCTTGGAGAAGAGGGAATGTGTTATATTGATACATGGTTTGCTGTCTGGTTGTGGCAGGTAGGTTCCCTGGAGAAGATTACTTTTGCTGAGTCCTCAACCCCCTGGCTGCTTTGTCAATCCATTTCTCCTTGTTGCTTGCTCATGCCCCACCTCACCAAAATTAGGCAGCAGCAAGGAAGAGGCTGTTAAAGCAAAGCTTCAGTTTACCCAAAATCATTAGTACAAGGCTTGGAGGGAGAAAAAGAAAAAAAGGAACTGTTTGTTTTCTTCCACCGCAGTCTTCTGATTTCCTATTTCTTGTCTTATGCTCCCACCACAGCAGTGAGAACAGGTGTTGGTTGCTGTGGTAGTGGGTGCCAAATAACCCCCAAAGAGACAGTAATACTAGAGGGAAGTAGCTTGGCATGCAGTAAAGAAAGGAAACCCTGATTTGACCACTTCCGAGCTGTGGCTAAAATGGCAGTAGTTACTCCAACACATGTGCAAAACTGATTAACACAGGCAAAACTTATTAACACAGTTTATGCCAATTGTTACAATGCATGTAATCAGCAAGGTGGTCACAAGCCATAATCTTTGCCTGGAGTTCTCTATTATTTTCTTAGCATAAGCCCTCTACAAGATAGAACAGTATACAAAATATAACAGTTTCTTTGTGTAGAATATAGAATATTCTACATAAGTTGCATGGAGGCCTTTTATTTATTTGTTTTTAACAATTATATGTGGGACTGAAGAAGTTACCACTGTAGGCAGAAAACTCCCAGAGTTTTGGAATTGCCAGAATTTTCCTATCTGCAAAGAAAATTTTACCAAAGCCACAATGCATTATGAATGAATAATGCATCTTTCCTCAATTAAACTGAGTGATAATGATAATACAGCCATATCTGAGCCTTACGTCAGAAATCGACTGCAATGATCACCAACAGTTTACATTCCCTCTGTGCAATCCTTGATTTCAGGTTTTGTTCAACACCACTCTGATTTGGCATGGGAGCAAGTGGAGAAATGTGATAGCTTTGACATGAAAGCAGAATAGGGCCAGTGATCCAATTGCCATAGGCCATAGCGGGAAGCACCTCTTTGGATCTCTGTCTGGGCATTTAGAATAGCAACAAGACAAACTCCTATTGTTTCTGCTGTAGATGCACTTATTATTTCTTTATTAAAACATTTTTATGCCACCCCATAAACCTCTAAACTCAGAGGCCCATTTTTGACCATCTAGATTTAGCCATCTAGATTAGATTTAGAGCAGGAGAAGGAAGGGAAGGAGGCTAGGCTGCCAATTGGAATAAGTGTATGTCCACAGCCCCAGCCTCCTTCCCTCTCTATCATGCCCCGCCTTCAAGGCTCCATTGTGACCTTGGGGGAAGTAGCCAATGTGGTTCTTACCAAGCTGGTTGTGTGAGAGTGGAGGCTCAGTCTCTGGAGTCCCAGCTCCAAGCTCATAGGACCTGGCAGCTGAGACTTGGAAGAATCCTATGGCCTCTCACAAGCTATCAGGTCAGGAGGTCATGTGATTGCACCCTTAGAATCTCTATTCAGTATGATTAAGAATCAGAATTAGAGTCTTAATTCACTTATAAATAAATCAGTGATATATTTGCTTTACACAGGCTCTTGGCATTACTAATAAACTGTTGGATAAACAGTATTTATTCCCATATTTGTGCTTTGCCACTTCTTGGACTTTTACAATTACTGCAGCCTCATCCTGGGGGTTCATATGTTTCATACAAAAACAAGGAGATAAGTTCAGCTGTCAGGAAAACTAATTGAAAAAGAAAGCTGCATAGATTGGTAGCTGGCAACAGTCTTTCTTCCTTTTTAAAGCATGGAAGTCTTTCCAAACAGCTTTTACTAAGGAATAGAGCACAAATAAATATTTCTGGATAAATATACTTGTTGTTTGAAGCACTATGGGGACAATCAATCTGAAGAGCTGACTTTTTGCTTTGGGGTGCATATGCTCCCTCTATTAGTTATACATTGTTATATGTATATATACTATTATACTATGTATTCGATCACATATATACACTATATGTACACCACACACACAAACACACACACACACACACACTAGGTATATGTAAAGCATGCTAGTGACATGACATGACAGGACACATAGAGAATGCCCACTTGTAAGGACAGGTGTGTTCACACATACCTCCCTGTAATGGAAAGCTATACATGTCAGGAATATTGCAAAATTCAGATACAAAATGACATTTTTAATGGCCTGATAAATACTTGCAGACTGTTTTTATACAACTGTAAAAATGACAGAAATGTAGAATTCAAATGAATACTGCTACTGTTTTCAAAACCATTTACATCCAAATCCAATATGCAACCTTACTTTGAAGTAAGTCTTACTATGTTTAGTGCAACTCCCCTCTAGATCAATGTGCACAGGATTGTTTCCGTATATAATTTATATTATGGGTGAAGCTTCTTACCACAAGCTGAACTTTTCCTCCCTTGAGAACCTCTGGGTCTATCTCAGGCAAGAAATGTTTGCTATACCGTGAACAGAAAACAGCAAATATGTCAATAACATATCAGTGAAATAGAACGACTGAGACTGGGATCCAAACAAGTATATCAATTGCTCCAAGGGAGTGGATCCTAGTAGAATGTCTGTCATTGAACAGCAGACTTAAACCATATCACTGCTTTTCTAACTCTGGTTAAAAAATTGTTTATCATTCATAGGGGTTGGGGACAAATGCTGTTTAGAAGCATAAGCCCAAATGCTCTTTAGGCTCACAGAAAGAGTTGTGTGGTTTTTGGATCCCGTCCCAAGAATAGCTTATGTAAATTTACCTGCTAGTAAGTTTAACTGAAACTGAGGGACATCTTTCAGGAAAAGCATATTGAGAATTGGGCTGTAAGACACCTACTACTTGGTAACTACAAGTCATCAAATGTTTAGCTAAATATCATTAAGAATTTTGGCTCTTATTTTCAGTGGGTTTAAGGAATATTATTTTTAACAATCTGGTTGAACAGATAAGGTAATCAGTTACTGCCAGAAAATGTAAGATAAAATTCTCATAATGCAAGTTCTTTAATAGCTAGAAATTTATCAAATTTACTAGTTTATTGAAGGAGTATAAATTACACCTATCATTATCTAATCTTATTCAAACAGTTTATTACATAGAAATAATCTTGGGTTTTGTAAGATAATTCTATCAGCTTTTTGACCACACTGTTTCTGATCCTTTCCAAGTTGATGTTTTGCCATCAAGCACAGGGTCAGTAGGATCAGTCGTAATATCTAAACGATCTTAATAAATGCTATTACAGTTATTAATGTGCCACACACATCTACCAAAGTAATTTAATAAGTTTCAGAAACAATTCAGGTTGTATAAAATTGTGTTATTTTTGAAAAAAAACAACCCCTATTATTTTATTTTTCAACAATGCAGTTCCATTAGTTCTGCTCAGCAATAAGTCCCAGTGAATTCAATGGAATATACCTTCGGGCAAGTATCTATAGAATTGCAGCCTAGATGTTTTTATGAAAAAATTTAAAAAAGCAATAATGAACAAACAAGCAACTGGAATACTTGGGCACTACTGCTAACTGACAGAGTATTGTACAATAATAAAAAAGATCATTGGTTTTATCTTTTTACCTGAATCTGTATATCTATGGATTAATAATATATTTTCCAAAGAAACAGTATTGATGGACTTTGTACTTTTCATTTTTATCTTGTAAAATATAATATAGAATTTTATATTATGTGTTGAACTTTAATTTCTCAGAAGTCTAACCCTACTTTCAACATTTCATAGCCTTGAGATTCATACTCTTAAACACATAATATAATTGTAACTTATTTTAAGACTTTCATACAAGTTGTTTGGCATTTCAGCCCTAAATATATTACTTGGAATCAGAAATCTTGCTTCAGATAATAGTCTTCAGGGTCTTCAGGGTCTTCAGCTGTGACCACTGTCTTAATCTGAAATAGTTACTATATACAGCTGCTTACAATAATCTTGTGCATAGGTAAAATATAGAGCTCCGATTTCAAACGTACTGCACAACAGTAGTTTGTAATGACTTCAACAAGCATATTTTCCCTTCAGCATGTTTTCCAACTGCACCAAAAATATTTCATATGTCCAGCTCTTTGATGCTATCCATAATGTCATCAATAATATGTACAAGTGGTCACAATTCAGCCTTTGATACAGAATGTAGTGCTGAAGGAGAGCAGGTGAAACTTTTAACATGCCCCAACCTGTTCAGTGACTCGTCAATGATTGGGACCTGCTAGTGCTTACCATCATAGTCACCACCAGCTGGGTTAGAACTGTATATATTCAATGCACATTCTCTACATGAAGACCTTGCTAGTGCAGGAAGAGGGAGTAAACCATTTGGGAAGCATAGGGCACCTTGAATGTCCACACTGTGCACATGACGTTGCATGGCTGTGGTATGTCATATCGGCAACCTGGTGCCTTCAAGGTGTTTTGGACCCCAGCTCACATTGACCCTGTCCATGAGGGCAACACACTGCTTAATTCTGACATATTGTTGTTATGGAAAGTATAGCTCCATGTGCAGAGACAAACAGATTTGTGTGTACTATATCAGGATGAGCAGAAAGTAGATCTCCATCTATGGACAACAACCCTCCTTAGTCTTGATACATAGCCATTCTGGTCCAAATATCTGGAAATCTACCTTCTGCCCACCTCTGTACTATTTCAACAGTGCATATACTAGTTTTTTGATGTTCCATTGGTGATATTGTGCTTGGATCATGTCAATGTGCTTTGCAGCCTTGTCAAATCATGACATCAGTATGCTTTCAGTCTTTCAAGACTGTCCATGAAGATAGGGCGGGACTCCCTTACCACCACTGCCCCCACTGTACCACTCAAGGGATATACCCCAATTACACAATTCCTCTCTCTTCCTTCCATGAAAGATCTATTCCAGAAGGCTGGAGGAACCTTGCTGAAGAACTAGAGAGTTGATATGGGGAACTACAGGGGAACTGGCAAAAATTATCTCTCCAGCTCCTCCATCAGAAGCCTCCATTAAATGAGAGTCCATTTGCAAATGGAAGCAGCTCTTCATTTGTATAATGGCAAGTCTGGCTCTTACCCGTAGGCTGTAAAGAATTCCAAGGGTAGGAGTACCATTTTGTACTGAGCTGGAGATGGGTGGGGATTACACATGAGATACCTGTAGGTGCCCTTAGCTGCCTAATGTGAAGTTAAATATTGTTCCTCAAAGAAACTCTTCAGTTTGACCATTAAAGTAATCCACCTTTTTAGCTGGTGAAAAAACCACCAGTGAAACAAAGAGAAATAATTGCAGTTACAAATCTGAATTGTTGTTGCTTAAAACAAAACAAACAGCACCCTCTCCCTTTGTATTTCATGGCCTCCTAGAGTCACTAAATTTTGTGACTTATTTCTACTAGATTCTATTCCTCTTTGCATGCACTCATTGCCTAACTCATTCCTAAATCAAAAACACCAATAGCTCTATCTCACTATATTGATGGTTAACTATTAAATCACAACAATTTGCATTCTATTATGTGAAGAGTGCAGGGAAAATATGTTTTTCTGCACTTTAATGCAGCTCTTTGGGATTCTAACAGAAAAACAATATTCATGGATATTATAAAGATATATTGCATACTGATATGTCAAAGCAATTCACTAAGGTTTGTAGCAGAATGAGATGTGGAATTTATTAAATTAATTCTCAATAGGAGTGTATTTGAAACTTGGCAGTGTGGCCCTTGGCAAAGAAGTCATATTTGTTTTAGGACAATTAAGATAGGTTTCATGTTACATGATGTATTATAGCAATCCAAAAATCTAATTTAAAGGCAATGATCTCACCATTTTTCAGTTCTGGGACTAGCTCCTTCATAATCCCAAACCTGTGTATGAAGCCATTTGTATGTACGTTCTTTGCTTCCTTCCATCTTCTCTGCACACTTATCTATTTGAGAAAATTCCTCTTCCATTCCTGTAAGGATGAGAGATATTTGGGGGTTTTAACCTTCTGAAAAACCTAATTAAACAAAGAAGGTTGACTTAGAGCAAAACAATGCAACACCTTTATACAGCAATACCAAAGTGAGCTCAATAGGGTTTTGTAATTATGCACAAGATTGGGATGTTTAAGTGATAAGAAACAAACAAACAAAAAGAGGCAATTGTTGAGTTTGAAACTTCCTTGTGTTCTCCCTTCTCTACATTTGAAAAATCAGCCTTCCTACAGAAACAAAGTTGGAAAAAATGTGTTTGTATGTTGTGTGTGAGAAAGAAATTATTCTTCTCAATGCAGGAAAAGACTAGATGGAGTTAAGTAAATGCATACATAAGTACATACATACATAGGGTTCTATAGTTGCTTTTTTATGTTAGGGACACAAGATATCCCCCAGATCATTCAGCAGACAGTTCCTCCTTAACAGTGGCTCTAGATTGTCAGAACTTTGCTTTATCTTCTGCCTCGTGAAAAGAAGAACCACATAGTCCAATTTTTACAAGAAAGGTTTATTTTGACGAATTGGGTTTGATTCCACCTTGCCTTTGGTGTCTTTTTCCACCCAGTACTTTCATGCTTTGCTTCTGCCCACTACATTCTGTCCTATACTTTTTGGGCCCTAGGGCCATGCTCCATTTGCTTTCTCCCCATTGTGTGTTTGTGTCTTAAGCAGTAATATCACTTTTTATTATGCATATCCGGACCATGGCCAACTCTGATGGGCTCTGCATGGGATATAGTAGGTGGAGGATGGATTGTGGTGACAGCACTTATTAAAAACTTTTCCAATGGCACAGTTTTCTTCAGTGATGTTAAAAACAAAAGAGACAAAAGTGTGGGGATGGCTTATACTGTAAGAAACCAAATCTTGGTCAAACTCAATACATAAAAATAAATTTGCAATTCTGAAGAACTAGAAGGAAGAGATCATCACGTTCAAACATGTGTGAACCAAATACAGTATCAGACAGAAGTGAGGTAATCTCCTGTGCGGACATTGCTTCAGAAATGCAGGAGACACTCAAAAAGTTATTTTCACAACTAGCAGCAGCTGGTTGGAGTCAACTTCGAATGAAGAAATTCAGATTGGAGTACGTGTTATTATATGCTAAATATGTGTACATATAGGACAGTCCTTTTGTTTCTTGTCTTTTTAGCCCAGAAGAGCCCAAATCCTATGGCTGATTTTGTGATGTGTAAAAACACTTAGTGTGAGGTGTTGGAATGAACTTCCAAATTCATTCCTGATTTTCTATACTGTGAACTTGAATCACCGCACATAATCAAGTAATATCTCCACCACCTGCTTCCTAAACTCTATATTTATCAGGGTGATCTGTGGGAGTATTTAATCCCTTCTGATTATTATATGCCATGGGAAAGTACCCTTTGCTATCAGTTTGATTCTCAGAAACAATATAAATTTATCTTCTTTGTATTTGAAACTGCGCTTAACTGTTTTTTTTTCATGCCATCAGCAGCAACTTAAGTCAATAGCAAAAGTTGCTTCTTCTTTATCAAGAAGTTTTGGGAAAGTTATTGTGTTCCATCGATATTTAGGGATTCTATGCATATAGATTTAGGACACTCTTATTGCTGAGTAATATGCAAAGGACTGGGCTTAATCTTTAAAGAAGATTAAGTTGCAAGCCAATAAGCAAAATTACGCAACATGCAGATGTGAACATTAATCATATAGTTATGCAATCCCCAAATCACCATATCATGAGAAGTTCAAGGGAAGTCCTACATTTATTTATTTATTTATTTAGGGGACTTCTATGCCGCCCCATTCACCGAAGCCTCGGGGCGGCTCACAAACCATAAATAAATAGAATTCAATAAAGCAATATAAATTAACAATATAAATTAAGTCGCCCTGGCCAAAGAATAAAATGAATAAATAATATTAACAAGTAAAATAACATTTGAATAAAAAGGACTTCACCTGGCGCCAAAAAACAAATAACAACGGCGCCAGGCGGACCTCTCTGGAGAGCGCATTCCATAGATTAGGTGCCACCGCAGAGAAAGCCCTCCTCTGAGTACTTACTCTCCTAGACTTGTTTTTAAAAAAGAGAGAGGGGGAAAGTTTTTGCCAATTATCTCAGATCTCAGATGCCCTCTGCAGTTATTTTTATTCCATCTCCACACACATACACAGACTCAGACCTGTCCCCCCACTTTGTCTTCTTCTAAGGTCTGATGAGTCGCTCCTTCCAAGACAGATATTTTAAACTATCTGCTTGCTATTACCTCACAGCACCTCACCATTTTGTGCTATTCACCAAATAGTAGTTGCAACAATATTTCCCCATAGATTAGACAACATATCCCTTCATGCTTCTTTTGTATGGTTGGTTTGCTGAAAATAATCTTCAGTGAATGTTGAAGCAGCCCCTGGAGCATTTGCTTTTAAGATGTGGTCATGGACATAGTGAGTAGTAGTATCTCCCACTTTCAAAGTAGAGCATTTCTTTCCATTTCATTTTATATGTTAGAACCAAATGATCAAATGGCTTTCTTATGCTGGAAAAAAGTAACAGTATTGACTAGTCTTATAGTCACATTATTTGTATTTAGAGAGCAATCCTATGCCTATTTACCATGATTTTCATAGGAACTTTCTCCGTCCTTTCAGGATAGCAGCCTAATAGTGTTTTTGATAGCAAAATTGCACCAGTATATCTTATAATGCAGTCATTTAAGGAGGATTTGTTTGTTATTAAGAAGAGCAGTACAGGAAGGCGACTATAACTTAGGCCTTTCCAGATTAGAAAATTCCCTAGGATTTTTCCAATCCAGGGAATTAGCTTGGGAGAATATCCTCGCTGCAGAGAGAATAGTTTTCTGAGATGCCTATATATGTATGTGCATATGTTTTTAGAGAGAGTTTTAAAATCAGGGAAATGTATATTACAGTGCTGAGCAACAGGGCATGCAGTATTCAAATAACTAAAGAGGAAGAGGATGAAGAACAGGAAAACCTGAAGTTTTATAAAATGGGACAGTATAAAGGATTTTAGCTTGCATGCCCACATCCATTAAATCCAAAAATGGATGGATTTTCTTAAATACTAAAAACCTGGTAATACATATAATAATGGAAAGAAGCACATTTGAAGAGACTCGATTAGCTTAAATTCAGGTGTGGTAGGCATGTTTCAATTAGGTAATGGTACCGAGTAGATATGGTAGCAAAATTTGTCTGGTTGGACTAGTCTCACTGTACAATTTTTTCCCATTAAAGACAACACTAGAATGCAGAAACCAGCATAGGTGTTAGAAACATTCATAAACTTTAATCTGGAAATAGACACATATGTGGACATCAGTACTGTGATGAGTGAACTCAGACTCACCAGCATGGTTGCACTGACTTCATATGAAAACCAGCCTAACCATCCATTGGAAGATACACCAAATTTGAGGAGTAGAACATATATCGCATAACGGTGATCACAGGTAACTGTGGTCATAATATTGTCATATCATGACAGCTGAGAAGATAATTAATGAACAAAAAATAACATCTTGCAAAAGTAGTTGTTTCCCAGTCTTAAAAATAATGTAGAATTCATACACAGATTCACAAAGTCCTTTGATTGTGATCCTACATGCACAAAATCTCTTGCATATGAACTGCTTATGTGTGAATGGCCTAGGGATTTTACTATAATTGTAAGAAGACAAATAATAAAATGCATCATACTGTATTCTCCATTGGCAGTTAGATAGCCAACATTTTAAAATCCACCTCATCTGATCTCAATCATAAAAGAGTAACACTGCAACTTGGAAACTCTAAGCAAGCCCTAGCTGCACATGTGGACTGAAGAATTCATGAATGCAACCAACTAGTGAAATCTGAGTTTCTGTTTTTTTTTACATCAATACATTCATTTTGACCTTTTTAGCATGGAAATTAAAAAATGATTGCAGAAATATTACAGAACAATGTTCAAACTACTTTCTGAATGCAACTCAATGTAAATTTATGGTAGTAATGATATTCTCTGGAACTCAACTGGTTAATAAAATGACCTAATAATCTGATTGTGTGGAAAGATGCTGAGTAAAAATGGGCACACATGGAAACAGCAGAAATTCTAAGATTTAAGCCACTGTTTAACTTTTCTGATTTATAGGAATAATTCACCTCCCACACAAAACATCAGTGCTACTGCTGCCAAAGTAAGATTAATAAAGAAAGTAGTCATTCAGTACATGCATCCTGGATGCATTTCAGAGCTTTGTAACACTGTGCCAGCATTCAGATCTAAAGTTTAAGGTTAAGAAGAAAAAGAAGGGGAAAAAACCATGGCATGAGGCTACATTAAGAAAAATGGAAGACAGGTATCACAGCAATCTTATTTGAGGTCTGAATGCAAAACACAGTAATTGAGATTTCTACTTATAAAGGTAAGTGGCTTATACTTTGATCGTAATGATTTGCACCAGGCTGAAGTCCTTGAGAACAAAGTTTACATTAAGGAAAGTGCGTATAAACAATGGAATGGGAAATCAAATCAACTCAACATATTTATTTTATCGAACCATTATGTTTTCAACCAATAGGGTCAATGTGGGCAATTAGAATAGAGCTATCTATGTATCAGCCTACCATATACATTCCATATAAGCATGTACTTACATCAGACTAGGATGTGTTAAAGTATGGTTAAAGCAACTATTATATCTAGTGCATGTGCCAGCATTTGATGTGCCAAAAAATAACAAAAAAGTATAGAAAACAATATTTGAAGATTCAGAATTGGGAAAGAAAAGAGCACTTTGATCCACAAAGCTAAACAATGAATGTCAGGGTTATCAAAATATTCTCATTTATTGCTTAGGAAATTTGATTAGCTATCGTGTACTCCAAGCTTTAAAATGGACATGTAAGTAAAATGGGCAATTTGAACAAAGGGAGTGGGAAGATCCAAGAAGTTTGTGGCTGGTGTCATTTGAGCAAC